CGTACCACATCAACAACACCAAACAATACCACCACTACCAACTACCACCACCCAACAACACCTCTCCCCAATCCACAAAAAAACACCACTACCCCCACCACGACCCCCCCCTTCTCCCACCACCACCCACTATTCACCTGCCCCCCCCCCCAAAAAAAAAAAAAACACACCCCCCACCACGACCCCCCTCCCCTTCTCCCAACCACCACCACTACTCACCTCACCCCTCCCTCCTCCTCCTCCCCCCAGATCACCGAGACCCTCCGCGGCTGCCTCCGGAACCTGAACATCAACGAGGAGGCGTTCGAGATCCCGAGCAACAGGAGGGCGGACCGGATCGTGGGCGTCGGGCAGTGCTTCGCCAGCGTCCAGCCGGGCTCGTACTTCCCCGGCGACGCCTACGCCGTGTACAGTGAGTGCCGTTTGGGTTTCCTTTTTGGTTCCTGCTGGGGGGGGGGGGGGGAAGGGGTACAGTGAGTGCGGTTTGGGGTTTCCTTTTTGCTCCTGCTGGGGTGGGGGGGGGGAAGGGGTACAGTGAGTGCGGTTTGGGGTTTCCTTTTTTTCCTGCTGGGGGGGGGGGGGGGGAAGGGGTAAGTGAGTGAGGTTTCCTTTTTGCTCCTGCTGGGGGGGGGGGGGGGGGGGGTACAGTGAGTGCCGTTTGGGGTTTCCTTTTTGGCTCCTGCTGGGGGGGGGGTTACAGTGAGTGCCGTTTTTCCTTTTTGGCTCCTGCTGGGGGGGGGGGGTTGGGGGGAAGGGGTACAGTGAGTGCGGTTTGGGGTTTCCTTTTTGCTCCTGCGTGAGTTTGGGGTTTCCTTTTTTCCTGCTGGGTGGGGGGGGGGGTGGGGGAAGGGGTACAGTGAGTGCGGTTTGGGGCTTTTTGGTTCCTGCTGGGGGGGGGGTGGGGGGAAGGGGTACAGTGAGTGGGTGAGGGGTTGGGGGGAAGGGTACAGTGCGGTTTGGGGTCCTTTTTGGCTGCTGGGGGGCGGGGGGTGGGGGAAGGGGTACAGTGAGTGCCGTTTGGGTTTCCTCCTGCTGGGGCGGGGTGGGGGGAAGGGGTACAGTGAGTGCCGTTTGGGGTTTTTTTGGCTCCTGCTGGGGGGGGGGTTGGGGGAAGGGGTACAGTGAGTGCGGTTGGGGTTTCCTTTTTGCTCCTGCTGGGGGGGGGGTGGGGGGGAAGGGTACAGTGAGTGCCGTTTGGGGTTTTTTTGCTCCTGCAGGGGTACAGTGAGTTTGGGTTTCCTTTTGCTCCTGCGGGGGGCGGGGGTGGGGGGAAGGGGTACAGTGAGTGCCGTTTGGGGTTTCCTTTTTGGCTCCTGCGGCGGGGGGGGGGGAAGGGGTACAGTGAGTGCCGTTTGGGGTTTCCTTTTTGGTCCTGCTTGGGGGGGGGGGTGGGTACAGTGACGGGGGGGGTTGGGGGAAGGGGTACAGTGAGTGCGGTTTGGGGTTTCTTTTGCTCCTGCTGGGGGTGAGTTTGGGGTTTCCTTTTGGCTCCTGCTGGGGGGGGGGGAGTTGGGGAAGGGGTACAGTGAGTGCGGTTTGGGGTTTCCTTTTTGCTCCTGCTGGGGGGGGGGGCGGGGGGGGTTGGGGGGAGGGGGTACAGTGAGTGCGGTTTGGGCTTTCGTTTGCTGGGACTGGGACTGGTAGTGTCATCACTATTGTTATGATTATTGTTGTTTTTATAATTTTTATTATTGTTGTTACATCATCGTTATCACTTTTGATATTATCATTTTCATTATTGTCATTACTATTATTGTTATTATTATTGGTATTATTATTATTATTATCATCATTATTGACATCATTATTGATGGTCAAAGGAAATGCCTTGCATGAGCACCTCCAGCCAAATAACCCCCTTTTTCTCTCTCCTCCTCCCCCACCAACGCCCTGTCCCGTCCGCGCCCTTTTCACCCGCCCCCCCCCTCACCCCGCCCTCACCCCCGCCCCTTCCCTCAAACCCCGCCCTTCCCCCTCACCCCCCTCACCCCCCCTCACCCCCCTCACCCCCGCCTCACCCCCCCCTCACCCCTCCCCCACCACCTCCCAACCCCGCAGGCAACAACTTCAACGTGGGCGCCCTGCTGGAGCTGCGCCTCGAGTTCCGGACGTGGGAGCTCAACGGGATCATCCTGTCGGTGCGGACCCGTCGGGCGCGGCGCTGTCCCTCGAGATGGTCAACGGCGCCGTGAGTTTTTTTTTTTTTTTTTTTTTTTTTTTTTTTGGGGGGGGGGTGTTTTGGGGAGGTAGGGTGTGTGTGTGTGTTTGTGTGTGTGTGTGTGTGTGTGTGTGTGTGTGTGTGTGTGTGTGTGTGTGTGTGTGTGTGTGTGTGTGTGTGTGTGTGTGTGTGTGTGTGTGGTGTGTGTGTGTGTGTTTGTGTGTGTGTGTTGTGTGTGTGTGTGTGTGTGTGTGTGTGTGTTGTGTGTGGTGTGTGTGGAGTGAGAGAGAGAGAGAGAGAGAGAGAGAGAGAGAGAGAGAGAGAGAGAGAGAGAGAGAGAGAGAGAGAGAGAGAGAGAGAGAGAGAGAGAGAGAGAGAGAGAGAGAGAGAGAGAGAGAGAGAGAAATAATTAGAGAGATATTGCTTTCTCATCTGTTTTTCCTTCGTTATGTCAGTCTTTTCTGTGGTTCTTGTATCTTTATTAGTGATTTAGCTCTGGAAGAGAAGCAAATTTAATTAGTTTACGCTCGAGTATCATTTTCGATCCGTTATCATTTCCCTATTTTTTTTTCTCGAATTGATACTTGCATTTCTATTTGTCTGTGTTTGTGCAAATACACAGAATACTCTAAAATATCCCCCAAAAAATGTCTTCCCCCCAAAAAAAAAAAATAAATAATAAAAATAAAATAATAATAATAATAAAAATCAATCAATAATAAATAGATAAATAGAGAACACCTTCATCCCCCCTCCCCCTCCCTCCCCCCAGGTGGTGCTGAGCGTGAACATGGGCGTGGGCCACTCCTTCAGCGCCCGCGTCAGCCTCAAGAACAAGTTCAGCCTCTGCGACAACAAGTGGCACACCGTCAAGGCCAACTACGTCAAGGACTCGCTCACCCTCAGGGTCGACAAGCACCGCGAGGCTTACGGCTTCAACGGCTCCAGCAACGAGAAGGGAACGCCCACCGACGCGCCGCTCTTCGTGGGCGGCCTCCCCGGTGAGTCGGGGGGGAAGGGGCGCTGCCGGCTCCTCGGCGCTGGGGATTTGGGCGACTTCCGGGATGGTGTTTATTTATTTATTTATTATTTATTTGTTTTCTTAATGATTGATTTTCTTGTTTTTATTTTTTATTGATTTTTTTTTCTGGAAAGTTGTTGGGTGGATATTTTTTTTTCCTAATGGTCTGGATTGTTTTTTTTTTTTTGTGAATGGCGTTAATAGGGCGCCCGACGGAAATAAATCCACCTCTTTATTCTTCAGGGCATTTTGTATTACGTAACTAACATCCATTCCCCCCCTCCTCTCTCTCCCCCCCCAGAATCGGCCCTGCAGGGCACCCTCGCCACCAGGGAGAACTTCAAGGGCTGCATCCGGAACATCGTGATGAACAGCGAGCGGCGAGACTGGACGGACATGTTCCAGCTGCAGAACGTGCTGTTGAACGCCTGTCCTGTGCTATGATGAACACGGCGGCTTATTCCTTGGGCTTAATTTACCTTCTGCGTATTTATAACACGGGGCTGGGCGTTTGTGCAGGTGGTACTTGGCACTGATTTTACCATGAAGAGAAATTCTATGACTTTTTAAAGAATTCTTTTAGTCATATATATATATATATATATATAATATATATATATATATATATATATATATATATATATATATATATATATATGTATATATATGTATGTATGTATGTATGTATGTATGTATGTATGTGTGTATGTATGTATGTATGCTTACATATACAGAACATATTGTTTTACTGAATTTGACAAATAATGTATTTGGATTCCTTTACAGTCCAAAAACCTTTAACGTAACGCGATGTATTTTTCCTTACAATATGTCAACATATTGTGGTCTCTCGTAACTAGTACATGAAGCGTTTCTCAAATGAAAAAGTAATTTTGATTCTAATGTAATAACATGGCTTTCCTTTTTGCTTTGGAAATATCAGTTAATATGAACTGAAACGGAGAAAACGGCATTGGTTTTATAGGATTAATTTTGTGTCTGTGTCACAAAGGGAGTGAATGTCAGTTTTTTTACTTTTTACTTTTAATGAAAAGGAAGTGCTTTATCGCACTATATTTATTATTACATTATTATTATTATTATTATTATTATTATTATTATTATTATTATTATTATTATTATTATTATTATTATTATTATTATTATTATTATTATTATTATTATTATTATTATCATGGCTAATGCAGTATTTATAAAGAATCATTAATAAGTCTTGTAATTGTCCAAGAAAAAAATGTTCCGAGCTCAGCGCACTCTAATAACGTTTAAATGTTATTCTGAAAATTAATATAACACGAAATAACGAGGAATGTCAGGACAGCTTCTACGTAAACCTAATGTTAAACGCGTACTGTGGTTAAGCAAAACTTGTTACTAGACTAAACCAGCACAGTGTATTTGCTTCCGTGTAAGAGTCTTCGAACAGGCTGCTCAAATTCCGTCTGTCAAAATGAGAAAGAAAAAAAAATTATATTGTTTTTTTTTAAGATTATGCTTAACTGTGGCTGCTGTATTTTTTAAATAGTAGTTCATATTTTAGCTAAAGGTTTGGACTTGTCTCCTGTACTTACCTTTGTGAATAAGTGTAATATACGAACGTGTGCATTAGCATTCACTAGACTTGAATGGAATGTAATATACTAGGCAGCATTGTGTGTTATTTGTGTATATATTGAATGCTGAGAGACATATTAGATGTACTTATGAATCACAAGGAACTAAGAGGTAATTCACTTGTTAAGTGATGTGTGTGGGAGATAAAAAATGCTTTTTAATAAAGTGGAACACATTTGCCTTCTACCTCGTGTGTTTTTCTTGATTTCCTTTTTTCAACCAGAGAAATTTGATTTTGAGGAGTCGCGCAGTGGGGCTCTTTGACGCCCATAGGCATGTATGGAATACACAAATTGCATTTTCTTGTAATTATTTTTCTTAATGTCACAGTTAAAAAACTCATTGTTCATATTAGCCTGATACTGTTTTATTATTATCATAAAATATTGCTTCAGTAATACAATATTATATCATTATGTCAATTTCATATAATTATTATTTATTGTTATATATTATGATCATATAGTATTATGATATATTCCTACATATGATGATCTTATGGTATATTATATTAGCATCATGGCATTATGGTATGTTATAGTATTATGATAGTATTTCAGACGGTTAATAAGGGAAGTTAGATTAATTTATGACGGTTTCCTAGAGCCACTTGTGTTTCAAAGAGCCTGGGGATAGAGCACGTAAATCCCATTGAAAAATCTGTTCTAAAACGATTGGAATGGAAGGAGAAAACGAAAAGAATATAGAAAATAGATAAAGAAAGTATTGCTTTATTCCTACATTATAAGGAACAAAGAAATTGTTGTTCAGTTGCCAGACTAAACCATCAAAAAAATATGAAGGTGTGGCTGCGTAAAAAATACTCAATATCTTCAATACTTTGTATTTCTTATATTCTTAGAGTGGTGGCACTAGGCATGAAACCATAATTCAGAGAATGGACAAGAAAACACAGAGGCAAACGCTAAATTACAAACAAAAAAGTCAAACACACACGCATACGCAGACACAAACCCGCGCACACACACACACAAATACATGCACACATCTGGACACAAACAGACATTGATACGAACACAAAGACACACATGATTTTTTTCTCCATTCCAGCTTTTCCGACTCTACCAGAGTGTATTAGCGCCGTCCTTGACCAGGCAGACTACCTCTCACTTCGTTAATTGTCACCGAACTGTTTACACGTGTAACTGCGAGCTCGCTTCGACCAAAACATTCAGGGTATTTCTTTATTATTTTCAAGGTAAGAAGGATTTTAAAGCCTTTTTTTAATCACTTTGGGTCTTTTATTATTAAATTGATTAAACTTTGATTTCTTGGGTCTTTTGACTTTAAAATTGAAGCCAGCTTTGGATTGCTGACCTTGTTCTTTGCTTTTGTTATTTGTTTCCGGATTTTTTTCCTACGGTTTTTTTTTTCATTTGGAGTTTTTGCCATTTTGTGGTCAAGTAATGGGTTATAGAAACACTTTTCTTCAATTTTGGTTAGTATTTTGTCTGCGTTTTCTACCGGCTAAATGTCCAAGACCTTCAATCCTCGGTTTTTGTTTGGAGTTTTATTTTGTCTATTTATTTTTATTATTTTTTGTTTATTTATATCCAAGTTTGTAAAAATGGTTAGCCCCGGACTTGGGCAGAAGCCGGATGATAAGATCCTAATTAATATTCTATATGATATCAAGCTCCCTGCGTATATGGGGGGGGGGGGGAAGTTTGGTGAGAAATTTCTGTGGGATTGTCAAATTTTCATAAAGGGGAAGAGATAAAAATGCATAAGGGAAAATTTGCCTTAGGGAGATAGTTTGGTAGAGGAGGAAGAGGCTGTGATAGAGGCGTCTACAGGACATAGAGGCGGTCTCTTTTACAGGCTTTCCATTCAGGAGCAACACCAATGACTGAGCTAATTGAAGCCGGAACGGAAATTAGATGCAAGGTAAATAATAATTTACAAATAATTTTTTTTGTTGAGAAGTTTGAAGGTGGTAAGATTCTGGAGTCACTAAAATTATAGAGAATTTTTTTTTTCTAGAGAAGGAGAGGTTTTAAGATTTGTGAAAGGTTATATTATGGATTTTGAATCTTATCCGGAGCCTTATCCATTTCCTCTAAAGAGAAACTATTGGATGAAGCAGTAGCTGAATAACAAAAAGAAAAAATAGAAAATTGTGATTGATCTCTAGCCCTCTCTTTAAAGTTTATTTTCCAAACATCTTTCCAGATTTGAAGAAAGATGGGTTAATTAGGCTGATTTTCAATCTACAATATTTAGAGTTTGCATGTGACATATATTCATATTGAAATGGATGATTTGCGACAATTCATATATCTCATGTTTAAAAACTGATTTTAGATATCAATAGATTTAAAATTTGCATAAGTTTCCGTGCCTCTTAGGAGAAAAACAAGACTATTTCCGTTTTCTTTGGACTCCGAGGTCACATTTGAGCGCCGAGGATTTTTCCCAAACGGCTTCGTCTATTTGCTTAGAAAAATGGGAATGATAACAGTCTGTTATTTCGACGATTTTATATTTGTTGATTCATGTAAGGACAGACTTGTAGAAAATGTGTCTAAAGCCACTTGTGTTTTAAATGATTTAGGTGTTACGATTAGTTTTGAGAAATCAAATTGATCAGCAAAAAAGGAAATTAACTTCTTGGGTCTTTTCTAGATTCTTATAAAATATCAGTTAAATTAACAGAACCAAAGAAAAAGAAGGTTAAGAAGTTAGCAATTAGGATGATAAACCAGAAGAAAATAAAGATAAGAAGAATGTCTGAATTTATAGAAAATCTAGCAACCAGCTCTCAGGGAGTGCCATGCGCAGCCTTCAGATATAATTACTTAGAAATTTGAAAAAACATGCCTTGCCAGAGAAAATCAAAACTGATGAATTGGTGGGTTTAGAGGAAATATCTAAACAACAAAATCAGTGGTGGATGGATAACCTTGATGTTCAAGTTAGATATATTCGTAAGTTTAAAGAAACAAAAGATTTATTTACAGATTAATTTTTACTTGGGGGGCTTTTATTGGACATGAGGAAATACATGGGCTTTGACATATTGAGAATAAATTTCGCATCAATATCTTGGAATTAAAGGCAGTTTTGTGTGCTTTAGATGCATTATGCTCCCATTTGGAAAAAAAAACTTACAAATCAAAGTAAAATGTGATAACAGGGTAACTGTCACTTGGAGAAATAAATGAAGTGCAAATATCCGCATTTGCACACGACCGTAATCTTATGATTTCTGCTGTTCACATTCCCGGCAAATATAATGTTATCGCTGATAATTTGTCAAGAATTAAATATGAAGAATGTGAATGGTACTTGAAAGCAAAAACATTTGATAAGGTTTGTAAAATATTTGGTGTTCCTGAAACAGACCTTTGTGGCCTTTAAGTCATGTCAACAAGCACATGCTTGGGATGCCTTCACTCTTATTTGGTCAAGATCTATGAACTACATGCTACCCCCCCCCACCTTTTCTTTTTTATGGGTAGGCTCCTTTAAAAACTCTAGGAGGACGAAGCTGAAAGAAACCCTTCTCACAGCGCCCATGTGGACTAATCGGCCATGCTTCGCTAATATTACAGGCCCATTTCAATTACACCAATTCTATCTAAGGTTTTTGTAAGTTTGCTGGTCTTTCTGTACATTTGAGACCGTTTCTTCCAGAAACTCAGTTTGGTTTTAGAAAGGGACTCGGCTGCAATGATGCAGTGGTTATGTTGGTGCATGAAATGCAGTCTGCTTTAGATAAGGGTCATGGGTGAAGCCTTCTCTTCACTAGATTTCACTTTGAGACTGTTAATCACAAAGGTTAATTTTTTTTTTTTTTTTAATTACAGGCTGTTACTGTTGGTAGGCAGCAGCGTGTTCATGATGGTGGTTTTAGCTCGTATTCCCGTGTGTTCTCTGGGGTTCCTCAGGGTAGTGTTCTTGGCATTTTGCTCTTTATTTTATATACAAGCGGTATGTGGTCTGGCAATACTAATAAAATGTCGTATGCTGCAATTAGTAGCTGACAGTCTTACTGTAGACCTAATGATGATTCAATCGTGGTGCTGTCGGTGTGGCATAAGATTAAATCCTACCAAGTCCAAGGGAATGATTTTGAGTCGGTCAAGAACGCAATTGACTCAGTAACCAAGTCTGCTGATGAATGGTCTTAATCATTTCAGTGGATAACCTGAAGCTCTTGCGGGTATACTTTGATTCAAAGCTTGCATTTCAATTGCACATTTGGAATATGGCCTGGGCAACTTCATCTATGTTAGGCATCACTCGCAAGTGCAAGATTTATGAAGAGACATTACTCGTAGGTGCTTTTCTTTTATTCTGCACCAGTTAGAGCATTGTTCTGTGTGGTTATCTGCTGCAGACTCACACTTAGGAATGCTTGATCGTTATTTTAATTCCATTATATTTCTTCTGGCTGACTTAAATTTGGACATTGGACATCGTAGGTTTATTGGGACTCTTTCAGTCTTATACAAGATTGTAACCGATGATTCACATCCCCTCTATAAGCTTTTTCCATATTTTTATCAACCTGCAAGAGTTATTAGAAGTTCTATGACCCTCAATGCACTGACAATTGATGTAAGTCGATAAGTTTTGTAGATGCTTTTTACTGCTATCTGTAGGCTTTGGAATAGATTGCAACTTCTCCGACTCTTGATAAGTTTAAAAGGTCAGATAACATGTTTTTCTAACGTAAATAGCTGACTTTCTATTCTTTCATCCTTTCTTAGCTGTATCTTGACCACCACTGACACCTTTGGTGGTATAAATCTCGATTTTTTCAGTGTGACTCTTTTATAACTTACAATAAGAATAGTAATAATAACTCGAATCCGCTACTACCTAGATTTGAGGATATATGGGATGCCTACTTTGTGTTATCTTTCCTGCAAAAGTTAGATTAGGACAATATGGAAATGTTGGGGAAAAATCATTAGTATTGATGCTCCTTCAGTCTGGTGAAAGAGGCCAGACAATTCATAAATTGAACAATTCTCATATTTCCATCACCTGAAGTGAATAAATTCTTCAATTATGCACACAGACTCAACCACATACATGCACAAACCAGGCTAAGGAAAGACACGCAAACTCAAAAAAAAAAAAAAAAAAAAAAAAAAAAATGGCAAAGATATGCGCAAACACAGGGACAGAACTTGGTAAACAATCCACTTTTCGTT